TCTTCTTCCCTTGCGAGCGTTGTTACCAGGGCTAATGAGATATGGTTTTTGTGAAGCAAAAATGGGAAAAAGGTTGGCAAAGGTGCATGAGATGAAAGAGCTCTTAATAACGTGCTATTTTTGAAAGCACGCTGGCATAAAGGATCTGTTGCCAGCCCAATTCAGGGCAATGCGCCTTTGAGCCCGTATAACCGATTCAAAGGCATAAGGCACGATAATTCAGTACTCGGTCTAAAATGGTAGCAGGGGTGCTATATAGTGGGAGAATGGCGAAAAAGCGAAGTGAAACGGTCAAAAAAGCCTTTGTTCTACACGACTCAGAAAGCAATTTCGGACGAGTTTCCGTTGGCATCGTGCCAATAACGCTATGGTAGATACGGCTGCATGTATGCACTCATATATCCATGCAGCACCGCAGCTGCTCCTGCTCTGTCAGTCTCTTCTCTTCATATGCGCAAATACGACCGGTATGAGCATCAGCATCGGTCGTCCATTTGTGGGCGGGCGGGCGGGGTGGGCGTCTGGATCGGTATGTTGCAGCTTGATAGGGCGCTATAAGAGTACATCCTTGAAAAAGGCGCTAGGCAGCGCCTGCTCAGAGACGCCGAATTCTGTCCTGCTAGCCACATTAATCCTACACGTCTGGGGAATTTATCGTGTCATACGCTTTTAAAGCTTTCCCAGAGTGGTACATAAAGATGCATGAAGAGTTACTACGAAATGTTTTTGGCAAGTCTCCAAAACGTTGCTGAATTTGGTTAATTTAGAGGAATATATTTCAATCTCCATTGTGTTCATACCAGCTGACGACGGAAACTGGACGATTGACACTGTTGAGTAACACCCGAGCAGAAGCATGGGATACATCCTTGTGGATTACCAGCCGACATATAGAATGTATTTGCTGGGCACTGATCGCAGTTAGGACCTAAATTACTGACTTCAGAACATAATATCGCCACAAAAAGAAAAAATTTGGCTCACCCTGGGCATAAGTCTTGCAGGTACATCTTCCATCATGACCGGGGTATGGTGAAGCGACTCCGGGTCCGGTGCACTGGGGTTGTCTTCACCTATAAACGAAGGCAAATCGCTGTCATGTCATGAGACGGTGGGAGTGACAACTAACCTGAATGGGTACACAAGTGCCAAGGTATGGTCCACGGCCTGATCTCTCGTATCCAGGGGCGCAGTCTTCACATGATGTTCCGATGTACCCAGGAGGACAAGCGCACTGTTCCACCTGAAGCAGCGGTTTTACCTCGATCAAGCTAAGAGTACAAATAACTCACCTCAAGAGCCAGACCATCGGGTGTTGGACGATCAACAGCGATTTGCCATCCAACGTGGCCCAGACTGAAATAAAATATTATTCAGGATTTTCATGGTTTCAAAAATTGGCCTATCTGGGTTTTTAACAGTAATAGCCATTTTCTTCGTTTTTTTTCTGTCCTCTGGTTTCATTGCTACTGGAATAGCCATAAAGAGATTAATTTGTGAACGTAGAGATGGAACGCATAGCGCCGCTAATCACTTTTTCTGAGCTAGCGTTCAACCTCAATTCCAAACTAATGGTAAGGAAGAATTCGGCTTGAAAAAAGTGTCGCTTTTCAGTTTCGTCAGATTTCAAAAGGGGGACATCTGTAGTGGTTTTTTCTCCCGGATATACATGATATCATGCAATTTCCCACGGGCAGGTAATCGTTGGTTACCTGGCCACGATTGA